TGGAGTGGAAGAAGGTTTTAGCAGCACTGTTCACTGAGATATTCATTAAGATATTTAGCAACATAACTGATTTTCTCTCAGAGTTGTCAGCTGTCTCTTACAATCTTAGCCATGAGAGCACGCTCAAGAACTCACTATTCAAACTTGTATAGATAGAGTAGGAAGTACAAGGAGCCCTATTATGAGCACACATGGTGCCAAATTAATTGGGAAGCTACTGCTCAATTCAAGTCCAGTAGCACTCTGCACTGAACTTCACTGAACTGCTCTTTGTGTCTCTCTTTCCCGAGCCTATTCACGCTTATCTTAAAGGCATTATTTTTTTTCCATGTTTTCAAAGACACATAGGTAGTTTGGGAGCATGTTTGGGAAAATGGATGAAACATCAGACCAACTGTATGATCAAAGGTAAAGCAGTATCAGAGGTGACATTTCCTGTAGGCATTTTTGCAAACAAGGTCCTGGCTGAATATCTGAATTATTACTAGCAAATGTTTTGTATCAGTGTCAAAGACAGAATTTTAATTGCATTTCTGCCTGGCGTTAGATGCATAGTGTAGGAGCTGATGTTGCACCGCAGATGGAAGCTGACGTGGGACTGAGATGACATCCCTCACTGCAGAATACTTTCATCCAGATGTTCCTTCTCGGGGTGGGATATGGGGGCTGCACCTGTGCACACCAGAGTAGCAGCAGCCAGGGAGGATTCCCTGCCATAACATGTGTCTGTGAAACACATACTTTCTCCCTGAGGAAATGAGCTTATGTCAACAAAAATGGGAACTTCAAAAAAATATATGTAGTGCTGGGAAAAGCAAAGCATCTTTGCAGTTAAACTGTGTGGGGTGATTAATTTAATGTGTCATAGCCCTCATGCACACATTCTTCTTCTTTGCCAAAAGCTGAATGTAATTGGAAACCTATGATTGTCCATAGGTGCCAGGCAGCTAAAAAATTGAGACTCTATGAAATGCAAACAAATTGAAATGTTTGTCTCTTGTATAAGTAACAAAAATTATTAAGCATTAAATACCAATTGCAAGAAGAATTGTTTGAGATGGCCAAAAATGAAACTGTTCTTGTGTACACATTTGGAGCAGGAGTCTAATTGGAGTGGCTTGGACAAGCAGGTTCTGCTCTACACAGTGGTTTTGCATGCTCCAGGCTGGTCAGTGTCACAGCAGCTTCCTCAAGTATTGAGAGATATAATCATCCACATAGATACCCTCATACATGAGTAAGAGTGAATTGCATGCATACACCTCATTTTCTTTTCCAGATGGAGGTGAGCAATACTCTTGCAACACAACATTTCTGTTGGTGTAGCTGTATCCACATAGCGAAGGCAATGGTTTAGTTAGATACAAGCAGCTTGTAGACACCAAGAAGCCCCAAGATGAGAAGATTGTCAAGTCTTGATCCTGTTCTTACTGTCACGGCACCCAAATCTTTGACTCCGCAGTATTTCCTTTTTACTTTCAGTTTCACCGTGGCATTTTAGCTTCACCAGAGCAGAGTTCAAAGGTAGATGACGTGGTTTATGTCGTCTACTTTGCTGAGAGTCTGCCAGGTAAGTGTTTTTTTCTTTCTTTGCCTCCGTTTATCATGGCTCCTTTTTAATTCCTAGCTATTATGCTTACAAGATCTTCAGAACAGTAACTATTCATAACTACGTGTCATTAAAATGCCTAGGGTACTAAAATGCTGAATTTTTTTTGAAGGAGAAGAGGTAGTATGGCTACATAATAACGTAGGAAAAAGATGATAGCTAAGCTAAAATTAGCCACATCCTAAAAATAAAGGAAAATGTATTTTTTAAAAGAAAATGTGCGTTTTACAGGAATTGTGACTTGTAGACAAAAAACAAATAAATAAATAAATACAAACCTCCTTTATGGAAACACAACTATAGTATTTCCATTTTTGGAAATGCATCTGCTCAACATTGACTTATTTTTGAGTGATCTCTTCTGACCCAACATTGCCCTTTTTTGTTTAGCATCCGATTCCATCAGCCCCATCAAAATGTGGTATTCCCCTAAACTACCATTAAGTTGAATAATACATGCATATGATTTAATCCAAGCTGTCTCCAGCAGTTAGTGGTCTTCTGGAGACTATCCAGATACTGCATGAAAAGAGATAACTGGGAAAGAAATAAACAATTTTGCTTGACAAATGGACCAGTGTATCTTTTGTCCCAGCCATCTTACTCTAGCAAAAAATCTTGTTCAAATACAATTATTTGCTTGGAGACATAAATCGTAGTTTTTTTCTTTTTTCTGTGATTCTCAAAGCCTGGTACAAAAGCAGCATTGTTATCCCAGCCAAACAGGAGATGGAACCGAGGCAAAGCCTTTGGGTTAAACTCAGCAGAAAGCTTTAAGAGAACCCCAGGTAGCTGGAAGTTATTAGTAAGATTCTTTTCTGCATTAGCCATCTTTTCTGCAGAATAGGAAATGTTTCAGCTGAAACTGCTAAAACTTGCCTAAAATGGAAGCTCTGGATGATTCTGGCTACGTGGTGGGAAGGCACTGACACCTTCCCACTCTGAGAGCAGGGAGTGAGAAAAATAAGTGGCTAGTTCATTTTTTCAGGGAAAGTGCTGGAGCATCACTGTGGACTCAAGAAGCTTTATATTCCTGAATTTTGTATGCTTGTTTTTTAGGCTCACTCTTTAGTTACATAACAACATATGTTTTCCCTATTTACCATGTTAAAATAGGCTGAGATAAACTCCCACTGCAAATGATGCAGCACTGACATATACTGCTGATACACTCATGTCTTTTTCCACCAAAGTCAGATAGATGCTGCCTCAATCTGCTGTGAAACGTCTGTAATCTCAGAGCCATAAAGCACAGCAATGTGCAAGAAAAAGTGTTTGCTTGGCAGTACCTGAGAGATTGCCCCTTAAAATGTTGGTAGCTCCCCAGATCCTCCCAGTGAGTATTTTGTATTGGAAGAAAGAAATACCTCAGCTATGACTGAAGACCTGAATGCTGTTGGGCTGGAAATAAAGCTTTTTGTAATGCTAAAAGAGAGCTTTTTTTCCTGAAGGGCACTGAAGATTTATTTCCAAATCTTCATCATGGCATTATTAGAATCTTTGCCTCCGGCAAAAAGAACTTTGCTACACACCTCGTCTGCTTCCCCAGCGAGGAAGAAGTGGTAGTTCTATCAAATACTTTCTTTTGGAGGGCTTATCAGATTTTTTCCAAGATGGACCGTGCAGTGCAGTGCACATTGCACCCTGATGAGTGGTGTGCAGATGATTTCTAAGAGGCCCCACGATGAAAAAGTGTCCCAAAACACACGGATTGTCAATAGCAGGGATCAGTCTGCACTCGTGGCAGATGTCTTACACTCAATAGCTAAGGAAAGGAAAATTTACCACCCAGAAACTGTCAAGCACAAGATGTCTGCAGTGTATTAAGAGCTTTAGAAATAAAATACCAGGTTGTGATAGAGGTTTGCTTTATGTGAAGTTTCTCTCGTCAAAATAATTTTGAGGAAGAATTGTTTTCCTTTTTTAACACTCGTTTTTGACATTTCTGAAATGGAAAAGCTTTTTGTTGTTGTCAAAATGACTCTGTTATGAAATGTAGATGTAGGTAAGGGTAAGGAAGACGTTATAACTAACACATTTTAGGAGTTCCTGCAAATAGTTCTACCTCATGAAATAAAACTGTAAGTTCTTGCAGCTCCTAACCTTCCGTGTCATAAACAAATGTGGAAATGGAAAGGGCAAATTCTCAGCTGTGCGCCGGGATTAAAACAAGAAGCGGAGCCTGTCTCCCCTCACCACCACCCTGTACCCTCCCCTTCCCCTGTGCATCTTCTACTGTGAAGATTTTAAAATTCAGCCTGCCACCAATACCCAACATTGGTGGATATACTTCTGGACCTGAAGCCAATATGATATTGAGGACAAAAGGAATCTTTTCTGTATTTAAGAAGGAACGGTGCCCTTTTCCATCCATTCAGAGGTTTGCACTGGTGCTTAAGAGCCCCAGTGGAGATAGATTGGTGGGCAAAGAGCAGGTGATAAGGTTAAAAGTGCACGATGGCTGCTGTTGATCAGTCAGATATCAGCAGTGCGAACGTGCCTACGTGTGTTTGGATTCCAGACACATACATTCAAAAACAGGCATCTCAACCAAAGGGCTACTCAAAACTCTTAACAAATTTACCTTCAAAGCACAGCTGAGCTGCTGCAGTGGGTTGGAAAGGGGTGCACTGAAGAAATGAAGTCTGGAGAGAAGTGAAGCTGAGACTTCTGTGCGCTTATTTCATACTTTCTGGCTGCTCCGATTCAGTCTAGCTCTGAACCTCTCCCTTCTCTCCCCCTTCCCAGGAGCCCCATGAGGCCTTCCTGACCTTACAATCCACCCACGGTTTCCATGTTACTGTCATCCTCCTTACACTTGACTGATGAGAAATATGTGATTATTTAACACATCATAAAAACAGCCAGAGCAAATGAAGGAGAAATCTGGAAAGTATTTTTAGAAATCTGTAAACAATCATTTCGATTCAGCTATTCGAAGCTGTGCACACGTTAGCTTATTAGCTGTTGAGCTGTCAGATGTTCTTTGGTTCTTTCACCTTTTTAAAATAAAATTAAGAAACACTTTGTTATACTCCCAGCCATTTTGTATGTCGTGGACTTCTGTTTGCAGAAACAATTTCTTTTTTGAGCTACAATAAACAGAGATGTTTTTTCTTCCCTGTGACTGCGCATCATTTCATTGGCTTCAGAGGTTTGACAAGCAATGATTCACTGACATTCCTGGTGTGCTAAAAGGCTTCTCAAGGCAACTTCAGGCACATGCATCTGCTCGTTGTGTACAGCTCAACATCAACGTCAGATAAGCAGGAAGAAGGAGGTGAGAAAGAAGAAGCTGTAAAAGTTTTCTGGAAAGATGCCCAACGCAATGGTGGGACACACATTGCCAAGGCTGTCTGCTGTGCAAGAGGCAGGAGTGTTTGTTACTCACCATGGTGTGATTTAGCCAGGTTGGAATGACTCCATCAAGGCTTTTGGGGTAAACCAGCTCTCGGTTGTAGGTGTACAGGATCCAAAAGGATATAGAAACAAACTGGAAACAAAACACAAGAGGGAACGCATTTCAAAAGGAGAGATATGGAATTGATGGCATTTGGACAGTGCTTTCATTTTTGAGAAAGTGAAATATCTCCCATATGAAAAATGGTGATATTGCCAGATAATCTTATGTATCTCGCATGTTACAACATAAAGAATTTACATTGAGGTGCAGTGTTCTGTGCTGATAATGTGAGAAAACTCCTTTTATAAACTGACAGCACTGACATTTCTGTGGAATGTGTGATTAACTTTAAATGTTTTTTCCCTTTGCAGATGGGATTTTTTGATGGTCCAGAAGTTCTCTTTGAGGGATTGGCTGTCAAGCCACACTGCTTGGTAATGAAGTAAAAACAGACCTTGCTAAGGCAGTTCACCTAAAACTTACTCTACCTTCACAATTCGTAAGCTTAATTTCTAATTTTCAGGTGCAAGCAACATGGTGGGTACCCATCTTTTCCAATAAAGGAGGACTTAACAATAGGAGAACTAAAAAGGAGGAAAAAAACTCTGGTGTCAGCTACCAACAGCTGGAGACTGATTTGCAATTTCTTCTCCTGGCTTTGTATTTGGGCATACGCTGTGTCTCCTGGAAATAAACTGGAAGAATGTGACTATGTTGTGCCTCTGTGCTGGTGAAGATGCATGGGGGATAGGACAAGCACATGAATATTGCTGTGCAGGGAAGATAAATTAGCCTTCTCTATCCCTGGCAGAATTTCTTTAGTGAGCCAGCTGGCTGATCTGCTTGGGGACAAGATTTAAGCAGTGTTTCTCAGCCCTGTGAGATTCAGAGGTGATTGCAGGTTTCACTCACACGCAGTGGTACCCATGGGTTCCAACACTCAGCACCAAACAGCGCCGTCCGTGAGGGAGCAGGTGATCCATGGTGAATCTGATGTAGACTATGACAGTAATTATTGTCCTGTGAAGCTGTATCTCTCTGGTGCTTATTTTAAGTCATGTTGGAATCGGAGAAGGAGGAGTGAGGCGTTGCTGTCTCCCAAGCACCCTCTCATGTCCTCCTGGCCCATGCTGCCCTTTTGAGAAATGCCCTAAGTGGATCATTCCAGAGCTATTTGGAACATAAGATTAACAGAGGGGTTATACTTCACCCTTTGGGGTCAATCTCTGTTCATTCGGGGACAGCAACCCTCAAGTTTTCAGAAGAAGCTTTGTATTCAATCGTGGATGCTAAAGGGCTTACATTGTCTGCTCTTCTAGATGGTCCAAATCTGTTCTCAAGTGGTAAAAGAAGGTCTGCAATCCTTATTTGTTTGACATACGTGCATGTTTTGCTATTCACATCTATGCAAATGTTATTTGTATGTACAGCAGCTACTTACTGTGGACACTGGGAAAGCCAGGACACTGAAAAGAAGGTCTCTGCTGGAAATTACGCACTTAGCACATCGCAGTTCCTTAATTAGCCTCAAGACATCAGCCAGGAAGGACACCCCATAGAAGACAGCCTGCAAAAACTAAAGTAATTACATCTAATGAGGAAAACTCATCCAGCTTTAATTAGCATGTTCCTTACTGAACTCCATTCTTGCTCTTCAGGGAGCTGTTTTGTTCGCGAGCTGCAAGCCCGTGTGAGGGAAATAGCTTTGGGCTAAATCTTTTTTACTAACTGAAAGTGATTAAATAAAGTAGTTTGGGAGATAACTTTAACGGTATCTCGTTTAACAGACTAAACAGAGATGTGCCACGTGATTCGGATCAAGGAATGGAAGGACATGTTGAAAGCAGCTCCATCGCGCCTTGTATGTTAATGGTTATGTTCAGTGTACAGAAACAGAAGTAAACAAAATTTGGCATGTGCCAGGAGATTGTTTCCTGTAAGGGTGCTGCTCGATAGCTTCTCCCATGGTTTAGTCAATGCAGGGTCTTCTCTCTGGGTACTCACAGTGCAGCTGACTCCAGGGCTGTACAAGCCAAGGAACTCAGAATGCTCCAGTATGAAAATCAGCTGCAGAAGTCACCAAACCAGAACCTCTGTTGCTTAACTCAGGGGGATTCAGGGAAGGATTTCAAGTGCTTGGAAGCAGAGATCCAGACTTTACGAACGCTGAGTACATTAAAACATAACTAATGAATTTCAGAGTGCGTGTGGGATCTTTTTTATATATCATATGCAAGCTATGAGTGTAGGGCTGCTTAGGGAAGATGGTAGGAAGATTTTGTAAACGATCAGGTAAGTGCAATGTGACAAAACAGAATTCTGCAAATTGCGTGTGAAATTGTGTGTGAAATTGTGTATGAAATTGTCAGAATATTGTGGTTTAAGCCAATACTGCTTTTTCTGATTACTTTGTTTTCTCTCACAGTGCTATCACAGCAACTCATGCTGAACCAGATGTGTCAGACACACAAAGCCAAGCAGAAAAAAATCTTCTCCTGCTATCTCGCATTCAGACAGCTGAGTCTAGTTTGGTTCTGTTAATTCATGGGGTGGCCTCTTCTTTAAGGCTAGAGTGGACCAAAGTGATGCAACATGGGGAAATCAGCCTACAGCAAATTCTGGGCAGCTACTGATGCTCAAATGCTGTGTTACAGCTTTCAGGATGAGATCTCTTTTGCCATGATCTTATTCTGAATCAATGTTTATTTCAAGAAGAGTTGTTGCTGATTACTTCATTGGTTTGTGAAGGAGCTGAGAAGGGTGGTGCTTGGGAGGGGACAGAATTAGTGCAGCACTTCTCCTTCCAAAATCCCTGTTATGAAAAGGATTGAGGGAAGGAAGGACTGATTTCACCAAACCAATCTTCACAGTAGGACTTCTGCAAGCTTTGATAGAACATTTTAGAGACCAAGGTGCTTTGCATGTGGCCACTCAGGATGAGGTCACGCATCACCTGGTTCAACTGCAAAACCTCACATTTCCTCTCTAGAGCATGAGGTGATCAGCTGCATTTTTTAGATAAAAATACACACATGGTTTTGTTCAACTCTATCTAAACCAGCTCTTTAAATGTGGTTCCCAGCATAACTTCATAGAATTGTAGAATGGCTTGGGTAGAAAGGGACCTCAGGGATCATCCAGTTCCAGTCCCCTGCCACAGACAGGATTGCCAGCCAGGGCCCCGTGTGACCTGGTCTTAAATGCCTCCAGGGATGGAGCATCCACAGATTCTCTGAGCATGACTCTGAGTTCACATGGGGATTCAGCCCTCCAAGTCATGGTTCTGGTACATAGAAGTATGTGCCAGGGTGTCGTGTGCTTAGAGCCATACATGTGCTCAACCCAAACACATGTCCGAGTGCTGGCCTCACCAGGACACCAAAACCAAGTCCTTGAAGAGCTAAGAAAAGCCTGGTAATAAACAGAAGCTCTTGTTACACCCTGTAGAGCCAGCAGTAACTTTCTGTAAAAAGCCTGAAAAATGAGCATGAGGGTGGTGACAATCTGGTGACACATAGTGACTAATGGCCAATAAAGCAGTTAGGGGAAGGCATGGTTCCCAGAGGATGGGGCTATTATTATCTCGCTTGTGTTCAGCCTTATATTAGTCATGGGACAGAGATAGGCTTCTCCCTCCCTGTGACCCTTCAAAATTAATTAAAACAAACAAATCTGAAAAGAAACACAAAGTTCCAAAACAGCCATATTAGTCTGTTAAGTATTCTGTCTTATTTTGGGGAGAAGAATGTTATCTTCTGAATGGAAAGCACACATCCAAATATGTAGCCTGATCCATTTCTCTAGCTGAGCGCTAACAGCATCTCCTGGAGAAGTTTGAATTCTGTCTCAGCAGCTCATTTTATGTACTGCTCATAGCTCAACCCATGTCCATCGGTGTGGATTCAAAGGGTATTCAGTCACTTTGTGGTCACCCTGTATTTTCAGAAGCAATGGAAAGACGTACAAATACTTTTCGGAGCAGAAAACTGAACCTAGCAAGAACCATCCCTCTGACAGGATGGGAAACAGTGACTTAAATCAGAGCTCCCAACTTGTAGTCTTCCAAACTTGGTCTTATTCCTGAAAGAAAAAGGCGTATCCAAATCTTGCAGCCCTTCACTGATGGACTAGATAACCTTTAAAGTCCCTTCCAGCTCAAATGACTCTATGAATATTGAGAAACGTTGGGAAAATGTTGAGATTAAAAAAAAAAAAAATTGACATGAAAACATGACATTATCCCAGATGTCCTGTGAATTTCCCAAAGATTGGACGCATTCAGAAAGCTAACAACTAACCCAAGAGGGAGAGTACGGATATGACAATCTTTTTTGGAGGGATGTTGCTTTCCTTTGCAGACCCTGCACAGCTCCATGGTGCAAAATGCCATAGAAACCCTTCATTTGCCAGATCCATTTTCCAAACTAAGAGTCATTGTGACAAAGGAAACCCGTAGTTTTTATCTGCTTCACTCATCAAAGGGGTGTTTCACTTTCACGTGTGAGATCAGCTGTATGTACATACTGAATTCTCCAACCTGTAGAAATAATCTGGGCCCCAAACTGTGCCCTGCAGAGGAAACAAATCTAATGATCTGGAGTGACCTATTAGATATAACAGTCCACACTTAGTGCAGACACAAGTCCCTTCACACATCTGAAAAACAGGTGTACTAAATGTGAGGTCTATTTGGAAATATGTAAAAAAATTTTCAGAAGAACTGAAAATATTTCAGTTGTATGAGGCAAAAGCATAAGGACGAAAATGGAGCAGGAATGCAATTAATAGTTTTTAAAAGTGCAGTGTGCTCATTGTTCAATGATTTACTAATAGATTTATGGCAGAGAGCAGATTTTCATGAGCTCAGCTATTTCAGGCAGTGAATGATTCTGTTGGTATTCTTTTGTATCACAGACAAACAAATACAGAACTAATTTTATCTAGCATTTCTGCTTGTTCACTAGTCGGTCAATTAACTCCTTTAGTGGAAAATCCACTTTGCTTTTTTTTATTTCTACAAAAATATTGTTTCCCTTCTGAATCTCGATTGCTATGATCACTAGATAGATAAATCAAAGTGAAGGAACGTGAGAGCTGCAGCTCTCCTGGGAGCACCACGTGTCTGGCAGTGCATTGTGCACAGTGCTCGAAGAGAACTGTATCTAGAAGAAATTCCTCCAGCATCCCTCCAGCAGAGCTGGGAGTCAAACTGCATTCCCATCTCCTGGAAATCATCATGTTTCCCCATATTTCCATAGCAGATCAGAGTGAGCTGGCCACAGCAGCTTTCTGCTGGATTGAATTTAGTGCCTTTTTAAAATGCAATTCTGAACTGGTAGGAGGAATTTTTTGGGAAAGTTTCCAAATGATGCCAGAAGCCAGGCAGTCATGGCGTGGCAGGAAAGAAATAGAAGAGCTGAACCAGAGCTCTGCACGACTCTGGGGAAAGCTTCAAGGGCACAGCATGGCAGCTCCTCTGCATCAGCATGTTGGGAGCTTCTCAACTCTTCCATGGCACCGTGCTTCCTGGCACCCCAAGGCACTCCTGGGCCTATTCCCAGTTGTGCAGGAGCACAGCACAGTGGTTTTTGTGGGTGCTGGTGTAGGGAGGGAGCTATCTGGGCAACCATTGGTTTTCAGGGGATACAAGGAAATACAATGCTGGGGATGTGTACCTTAGGGGCAGGCTCCATCCCATGCAGCAGAGTTGGGCTGTCAGGCAGCTTCTTTGAGGCAGAAGGGCTGCTGACCATGGAAGAGGAATTTTGCACTCCCTGCATTATTGCCACCTTTTCTGTGTCAGAGCAAGGCAGCCCTTCACTACCTTCCTGCTGGCTGACAGCTCCATTGTAGAGTTGGTACCAGATCAATGCATGGTTAAAGACTGGAGATGAAAGACTAGAGAAGTGGAGCAAGGGCCCCAGCTCAAAGAGATTTAATGGGACCTGAGCTGCTCAGCAGATTCATAAATGAGCTGGGGAAGGGAGTGAATGTGAAGGTGGCAAAGCTTTGTAAATCTTTTTCTATTTTTTTTTTTCTGTCGAAGCTAAGCCTGACTGTGAAATTGCCAAAGAATCTCAGGACACCGAGTGCCTGAGAGATCAAATAGAAAGGCAGAAATCAGTGTTGGTAAATGCAGTGCGGAGTATTTCAGGATAAAAAGCATCTTCAGTTATATGTTTTGAGATGGTGGGCTCTAAATTAGCTATGGCTCTTCAGGGAAGAAATCTGGAGCTCAGTGTGGACAGCTGCCTCATACTGCTGGCTCCTTGCTCAACGGTCATCAGAAGAAATTAACAGAAAGTTAAGACTTTTTAAGAAACAGACTGGGAAACAACCTTAAGCCACTGTATACATACGTGTGATGTGTTCAGAGCTCAACCACTGCAGCCTGTCCTACTTAGCCCTTCCTGAAACTAGAAAGCATAAGGAGAAAGGCAACAAGGAAGTTTTAATGAAAGAAGTGGCCCTTTGTGAAGAGAGATGAAAAAGACTGAGACTTTCAGCTTGAAGAAAAGAATAACCAGGGGAGGAAATCTCGGAGAGGTCTGTAATGAGTAACAAAGAGAAAGTGAACAAGGACGGACAATTAAATTGTAACATAGCAGTAAATGGGCGCCCGATTCATGGTGAAAATGAAAAGCTCTTTCAAAATGAATTGCTCTTTCACACAAGGCATCATACGTGGAACTCATTGCCATGGGACATGGAAAGAACCAGAAGTATAAACAGGTATGATTTTCGTTTATAGAAATGAGAAGTAGGCTTTGAATAAGTACTAGCTAGCTTAGGTTTACCTTCTGGTTGGGTAAGTCTGGATGCCACTGGAATGCAAGCTGAGAGGGCAGAACTGTGGAAAGATCATTTTATGCCTACACATAGTCTTGTCTTTGTGCATGTAGCCTTTCCCTGATTAACCGCTGGATATTGAGTTCAAGGGAACCTAACTATCCATTCCAATGGATTTTCTGCTTCCCAAAATGCTGCGAGAGGGGCACTTGTTTTCTCTTCTCAATCTAATGCTGTAGGGGTTTGTGGCATACTGGGTGGTAGATCTCAATATTACTGTGGCTGGGGATGCAGGATGGAGGTGCTGCTTTGACCGAGGGCATGGCTGGTGCTTTAGTGGGCAGCTTTAATCCAAAAAAACACAAAGGAGAGGAGCTGGGCACACAGGGAGCAGCTTGTCCAGGACTTAACTACAGATGTTTTAGGCTACTGACAGATGCCCCAGCACGAAGTACTGAATATCCGTAAGGTAGTTGAATCCTGTCCATTTGATTGTTGGCATTTCAGAATAAAATAAAATAAAATAAAATAACATAGAAAATTTCACAAAAAGTCTAAGTGTACTGATATGAAAATAAGTCAACAACAAACCACTCATATGTCATCCTGACTGAAGCAATACACATGCCCTCATCCTTCCATTTGGTGCTTGCCCACTGACAAGGACCCTGTGGCTCCTTGAAGTCCAGGCTGGTATCAGCCACTCTGTGTGCCATTAATTTCGTTGTGAATATTTCCTTCAATAACAGAAACAGTGAAGCTGGAAGGGATCTAAATTTCCCCAAATCCCTGAGTGTGTCCAAAAGCCCTGCTTGGAGCTGGGGACACCTTAGGCTTCCAATGACCACTGCAGTGAGGTGTCTCCTTCTGAAGAGTAAAAGTAAATATAAATACATCCAGTGCCAGGCTTCCCACTGATACTTAACTCTGACGGTCACACAGAACAAAGAAAAGACCAAAGGGACCTCCATCCACTTGGTCACCTTCAGGTTAGCTGAAATCTGCCACTTGTAGGAACCTTTTCCCCATGCTCAGCTTTTCCACCCCACTGCTGCCATCATCACGAGTCGCTGATGAACCTTTTGGACTGTGAACAAGTGCTCAACCTCAGAATATCTCAGGCACTTTCATTTTATGTCTGCTTCATATGATGTCTGCATAATAGAAGAACCAGAACGCATTATGGTCTACATTTTTCAGCGTGATTTTAGGAAATGCAGCAAACAGTTGACAGCACTATTAAAACAAATGTAATAATGTCACAAGCATCTCTCTGTAGGCTAGAATATCTTCCGTGTTCTAAACTGATTTTCAAACTCTGAACGCTTAAATTAGCACTATGCCATGCCTTTTTTCACCCTTTCTTGAATTTACAGGAAATGCAACCTACTAGAGAGTGGAAGTCAAATTGCAAGCACATGATAACATGCATTGCTGTTGCTTAACTGTTAGTTAAGGGTTAGACTGCATGCATCAGTCCTGCTGGACATAGTCTACTTTGTTCCTCCCTTCTCACTGGTAGCTCATCTTTCACAATGAGGCAGCTTGCTGTAGAGCACTCACTTTTCAGAAGCCAAGCAGCTTGCCAGCCAATGCTCTTTCTGCATAAAACCTGTGACTACATTTCGCTGCACAAGCACAGGCACCCACTGAGCTCCCTTTGGGCTATAAACCGTTAAAGGAAGCAGTTTAACAGCAGCAAATCCACCAGCTGCATATGTCTTGAGGCACAGACGGCAGACAAACAAATAGACATATTGGTATCACTGTACAACACAATTTGCTTACCAGATTGAGGACTGTCAAATATTTCCACTGCCCACCGTAAAGGAACACTTCAGATGGCCGTTCTTCTGTTCTTAGATGTGTGAGTGAATAGAGGACGAAAAAATACCAGGCAAGAACAAGGCAATGGTAAGCTGCGAGAGTAGAGATTTCCATGCTTTAGCAAAAAGCGAGTGGTAATCGGTCTGAAAGCAGCTTTTCTTTTAAGGCCCTCGGTAGCTGTGCATGGAGGCAGCAGGGAGGGAGGGATTGCTGCCTCTGAGCAGACTCGGGGCCCCTGTGCCACTTTATCACGTTGGTAGGAACATTCACAATGCTGTGAACCTTGCTTCTGTTTTTCCCCTTTTTACTGCAAAGAGAGGCAGGAGGGGGACGGGGCGAGAGGAAGAATAGGCTTACTCCTGGATTTAAATGCCTTGCTCAAGATTAGCAAAGATTAGTTGCAGAGTTACATAAGTTTTTTGGTGGTTGGTTGGTTTTGTTTTGTTTTGTTTTGTTTTTTTTTAATGCGAAAGTCTGGGGGGAGCTTTGCTACTGATTTTGTGTAACTGACTGTGATGCAAACAAGTGAGTGAAAGCAGACATTCTGCTCGCTTGTAGCTCCAGGTATAGGCACAGCTCTGATTCATTTTGAGCAGCCTTTGTGACTGCCTTCCCTTGTGCCAAAGGGAAACACAGTGAAAGAGAAACTGAGTTGTTAATAGGCTGGGGAGGTGGGAGGGAAGCCGAGAGGATTAGTAGGCAAAGGTTCTCTGGGTTGAAAAACACTGAGTGTTGACATTTTTTATGGGAAAAAGCTCAGCCTTTTCCACGCTGCTGTGTGCAGCTGGAGCCCTTCACATAGGAAACCCCGGAGGGGATGGAGCATGGGTGTAGGTGACAATGGCAGAGCAGAGCTCCTCACCCACCTGCTCCCCTAGCGCTGCCATCCAGACGACCTCTTCCACAGTGTGACCAGATGAGGTAAAGGGGAGCAGAACTGGCACTCACATCGTGGACACAGAGTGAAGATCTCATGGAAACGCTCATTTTTTTCTCCTCTCCCACCTTGCCAAAATGCCCTGATTAGCACCGGACATTACACCCAACACTTCCTATCTGGCTCCCCATAATCGCAGTGCTGCTGGCAGTAATTGCCACCTGGGTATTTTTCCATGCTCGAGCCCTGCAGGATGTGGCAATGGGGTGCTCCTCTCGTCACTGCAAAGGCTTTCCTTGGGCAGGGCTTGGCTTTGGCCAAGCACACTGCATAAAATGAAGTCTTTTTGCATTTCCAATTGTCATGGAGGGAGCATTGAGCAATCTGCTGTGTTTTGAGTTGGTTTGGTTTTTTCTCTTGGATTCATTTTTCCCCTCTGATACTGGACATAAGGCTCCACGTGGGTTGATTTGCTATGAGCTCAGGCAGTGATTTGCATGTATGTTGGGAAATAATCCTTTCAGTAAGGCTTCATTGACCTCTCCCTTGGTTCAGACTACCCACATCCCAATACCCTAAGCATTCCAGCCCAAATGAAATATTTCTGACTTGTTTAGGAAGATGTAGATATAGATGTTTTTGTGGTTGTTTGAGGTTGGAAGAGAAAACCAGAAACAAAAAAATAGTGAAGGAAAAAAAAAAATAGGAATATGTTTTTGGACACTGACAAGGCCATTGGCCTTTTCCAAGGAAATCCAGCAGAAAACAGCATTCAGTTGCCTTCACAGACAGTCTGATGAGGGATGAGAGGTAAAGACCTCAATTTGCATCCCTCAGGTTGGATATTAGGAAAGAAATTATTCTCTGAACAGTGGTGATGCACTGGCACAGTTTCCCCAAGGAGGTGGTGGAGTCCCTGGAGGTGTCCAAGAAATGTGTGGATGTGGCACTGAGGGATGTGGTTAGCAATCATGGTGGGGGCAGGTTAGTGATAATTTCGGTGGTCTTTTCCAACCTTAATGGTTTTATGGTTCATGAGCTTCTTCCTCTGCAGCTCATTAAGACATATTAAGACTCATCCCTGCAACAAAAGGCAGGAGTAGAATAGGAGTATGGCACGGAAGGGCCCTTTTTATTATTGATTTGCATATCAAAGGCACCTGGCATTCAGCACTTAACAAGTTATCTTCACACCAGTCTTTTTGATGGATTTGCTACAGTGCAACTTTAAAAACAGGAAGGCGTCTGCTTTTGCTCAGCAGGTTCCTGAATTCATGCAAATAAATGTAAATATATGCAAAATGGCAAGGTATGTTTTTCTTTTCTGGAAGATCGTGGCCGGTAGGGCTGAGAAAGTGTCAAGTATGGTGACAGTTTTTTGATGTGGACACCTGTCCCACAGACTGAGACCATCTGCTTTGTTTTCCAGTCTACAAGAAGCAGGATCCGTATCCTTCAGCATAGCTACGGAATGTAGTTTGGATGCAGAAAAATCACACAGGAAGGATGAGTGCCAGGTACGTCTGAAGTCTCACACACCGTGATTCACAGAGTCTTCTTGTGCTGCCAGTGCAATGCAGGGAGGAAATACACTGGAAAAACAGTACATTATGCCTTCTCCCCACTGGGATAAACATCTATTCAAAGTTCAGTGGAACAGAAAATTCAACCCAAAAATTTTTTTTTTTTTTGCAAGGGTTGAAGACGAAGAAGAAAGAGGGAGCACATGAGGATGTAGGCATATCTAGCACAGCTGCAGAGCAGACAGGATCGGCAGAGGATATCCCATTATCCATCTGCTTGGTCCCACATCCCAGCTCACGTGTGCAGCTGAATTACATGAATGCATTAATGCTCCCAGTATGCTGCAGGGGCTCATCTGGTTTGAGTAGTGATAGCTGAATTTTTGCTGAAGGAAACTGGGGGCTCCCACTTGGTGCAATAATGTGGTTAAAGGACAGTAATGACTAACCTGAGCTGTGAAACACCTTACGTATGCAAAATGCCCTCTGCTCATACTCTCTTCTGGGGGAGAGAGTTAAGCCAGTTTATCTGGCTTTGCTGTGAAATGGCCTTCAATCACTCATTAGAAACTCTTTACTCAGAGAGCAGCGAGGCACCAGCACAGGTTGCCCAGAGAAGCTGTCAGTGCTCCTTCGCTGAGGCATTCAAGGCCAGGTTGGATGGGGCTCTGGACAGCCTGATCTGCTGGGTGGCTGCCCTGCCCACAGCACAGGTTTGGAACTGGGTGGGCTTTAATGTCCCTTCCTACCCAAACCATTCTGTGATTCTATAATTATTATTGTTCAGGTAGGAGTACTATCATAGTACTATCATAGACCAACATGTCTGTTTGAGATGCAACAGTGTGCCTCCAATGGTTGCACAGCACCTCCAGGCTCCCAGGCACTCCTCTTATTAAGCATGTTGTTACCATGCAGTGCTTGGTTCACACCTCAGCCTGTCTGTAATGAGAGTGAAACAGGGAGTGATGAGCCCTCACCTCCATGATGCGTTTGTGTGATTCTGTACTCAAATGGGCTGCAAGGTGTAACGCACAGAAAAGACTCCATGCAGGGACTTGAAAGCTGCCTCTGTTGATAGAAACAAACATTCCTGTTTTCTCTTGGGTTAGCAATTGGTGAGATGCCTTTCTTATTATACTTTACACTGGCAAGTTTTGCTTTCTGCCAGAGATGCCTCCATTGATAAGGCTAAGCAGGAAATTGCCAGCAGGTGGATGCCACTAAGGGCAGGTGGGAGGGAAGGGCTCAAAACCAAGCAAGCCACACAGGAAAGGTTTTGAGGATGTGAAATCCAAACTGGGTCTTTGTGCCTAGTTTCTTTCCTAGGCATGCTCCAAGAATCTGTGAGTGATGTGAAAATGGAACTTGCTCCTATCAGAGGGATTTTATTGGGTGAACAAAGTATGAAGGGAGAGGTAAGTACAGTTTTTCTTCTAATTTTCTGCTGCCTGTTTTTGTCCTCAATGCAATTCTGTTATCCTAGGCTTGAATGTCATAAGTTGTTCATCGTTAATTTATTGCTGTCGTAAGCTGGCTTGTGTTGAAGATAGCATCCCCTAAAGCAGGACCCATGGCTGCCCTTCTGTGGCATCTTTTGTATTTTATGTGAGCGTTTCCAGAGCTAATAGAGCATATCTCAGCTGTGTTCTGGTAGCTGTTGGTGTTGTAGGGGTTTGTGTAAAGATACACCGTCTGATGAATGTTAGCCAAGAAAGCTTTTTAGCATGTAGAAGTAGTCTGCCTGAGCTTTATATCCTTGGGGATGTTTGTAATAACGGTTACAGAAACAATTCTGTAACTGTTCTGTCATTCAAAATGAAGCATAATTGACAAAATTGCAAGCCTGGTGTGGTTTGCTCCAAGCATCCTCAAATCCTGAGGCAAGCTTCTGGAAATCATGCGGTTAGTGTAAATCATGAGACTTAATTCTTTCTGATTTTATTTGTCTTGGGCTTTAGTAGCTTCTAGGGGTCTGAGTTTTCCAGCTCTTTCCTCACAGCTGTGTGAATGACAAATGTAAAGATGCTCTAACTGCTAATCTGGGCCGAGGGCTTTGTCTTATTGCATGGCAGCAATAGCTACAACCGATAAAAAACAAACACTCTGAGACACTGCTCACTCTCCAAACTTTAGAGCTACAACTGCTACTTGCTGCTCATGGAAAGCAGAACAATTCAACTGTTGAAAGACGTCATGCATCCTTCTGCAGGGGCCTCTCATCCTTGCCTTCTGTGAGATTTTATTCATATGGATGTTTAAGGCCAGGACAGGAAGTAATTTATCTCACCTTGCTAGGCTTCTTCTGAATGGTTTTTAAAAACTAGTTCCATGCTGTCAAAGTCCAGAGGGGTTTTTTGGTCCTGTGGTGACAATTGGTGTGCTGGCAGAAGCTGAATGCAGCAGGTGGCTTTATTTGTGTCTGTGCCCCGACTTCAGTCTGTGCAATACAGTGAGTTGCACTGGTGTTTAAGCTGTGCATTTATTCACGCTGCTCAATGAAATGTCACTGTGATACAGAAACAACTCTTCCTGAGTAACAATAACTTGACACTTGTGACAGTGTTAAATGAATGAAAATTATGACATTACAGTGAAATATTTCCAGCAAAGGTAAGAAGGGAGAACAGGCTTCAACAGATACGGAGAAGGCTGAGGTACTCAGTGAGTTCTTTGCCTTGCTCTTCACTGACAGCCAGGCCTCCCACATCTCTTGTGTTTCGGAACCATTAGGTAGGAGTTAGGGGATTAAAATCTCTTCTGCTTTAAGGCCAAGTGCAAGGTGTTGCACTCAAGTTGGGGCAATCCCAGATATAAATACAGGTTGGGAGAAGCAGCCCTGCAGAGAAGGACTTGGGGATCCTGGTGGATGAAAAGCTGGACGTAAGCTAGCAGTGTGTGCTTGCAACCCAGGAAGCCAGCAGTATCCTGGGCTGCATCAAAAGATGCATGGCCAGCAGGGAGAGGGAGGTGATTGTCCCCCTCTACTCTGCCCTTGTGAGGTCCTATGTGGAG